AGGATCCGGCAAGATCCAGCTCAATTTAAGCACTGGGTGTGTGTATCTTGACAAAAGATAAATCCACCAGAGTTTGAACTTTGAAAAGCATTGCCTTTGCTGTGGGCTCTCTGACTTGATTTGTCAGCAATTTTAAAATTTGTTTTATGCAAACAGCTTTAGTTAAATTTTTCACACTGTTTGCCTGTTAAATTTAAAAAGGGAGGGGGTCAGTGTAGGAATCGGAGAAACTTGTGCAAAATCAGAAAAACAGAATGAAACCAGCAGACAACAAACAAGCTAAAGGGGTGAGAATGTATAGTTTTATAGTTTTTCCGTGAATATATATATATTCAGAAAATGAATGGGTCGGACCACAAGTGGTATGTGAGGGCCCTCTAGAGGCCACGGGGCAATTTGCAACCACTCATTTTGCTTAAAGGGAGAACAGGCGCTGCTCCAGTGTATTCATGTGTACCCAGGTAAATAAAAAAAATGATGCAGTAAAATGCACTTTATTTAAGTATACTTAGTAGACTTTTTAGTAATGTACTAAAAGTGCTCTATTTTCGCACACTAATTTTGTACTTAATGTACTAAAAGATAGTATTAAGTATATGTTAAGATAAACTTAATACCATCTAAGTGTACTCAATTGTGCTATTTTGAGACACCCTGAAATTGAACTAAAATGTGCTTTTAACATACTATATCTGTATTTTAAAAAATATATTTAGTTACAACTAGAAATACACTTGAACCCTAATTTTAAACATTTAAATATATTTATGACTAATTTAAAGTAATAGTAATATATTAAAAGAATAAACAAATTGTAAAAAAAAAAAAAAAGTGTGCTAAATACTGTATTAAAAGTGCTCGATTTTCCCAAACTAATTTTGTACTTAATGTACTAAAATTAGTATTAAGTACTTTTTAAGATAAACTTAAGTACATCTAAGTGTACTCAACTGTGCTATTATGAGACACCATGAAGCTGATCTAAAATGTGCTTTTAACATACTAAACATTTATTTAAAGAATATATTTTGAAGGGATACTGTGTGTACAAAAAAAAAACAGCATATGTGCTTCATCAAAACACTTTAATCTTTTTGTGCAATAAACCACAAGTCCAAAAATACCTTATGGGGGGAACAAAAACTTAGCAAAAACTGAGAACAAAAAAATATAAATAAGATTACATTACAGCACATATATAAAATGTAAAGACATTTTGTGAAAATGTACTTCTACTACAATACTAATAGATTTTTAATAAAGTCAATTTAATGTAAACTTAAAATTACCACACTCAAAATCAATTTAAGTGTTAGTGATAACATTGCATTCACATTAAGTGTACTTAAGCACAACTTTTGGGAAAATGTACTTCTACTACAATACATTACTAATAGATTTTTTTATATATTAACTTATTTTAATCTTAGGATTAGTATGTAAACAGTGTACTAAAAATCAACTAATGTTTAAAGCATTTAAAGCACACTTTAAAAAAAAAACTCTAATAAAAGTCTTTTGGATGTTTTTTCTGTGGTGTTCTTTATTGTAGTACACTAAAATTTATTTAAGTATTACTGGTATTTGGTATACTTTTGTCAAGTGTACTAAAGTCCTACTGAAGTATAAACATACTTTTAATTAGTATATTTATAGTGTAAAACCATCAAACTTTTATTTAACACAAAAAATAACAATGTACTAAAACTGTTTCAGCATTGTTGTTAGTCTAGATCTTGTTCTCCTGTCTCGTGGAATGAAAAAGAATCGGGAATACCAGCAGAAGAAGAATACCAGAAGAAGAAGAATACCAGCCTGGCTTTAAAGAAGTTTTGGCCATTTCCAGGCTGGGTTACAGCCATTTTCGAGATATTATTGCCATTTTCAGCCTGGTCTTAGCTGGTAAGGCTGGGAGATGACCAGCTAAAACCAGCTTGATAAGCCTAGTCTGGCTGGGAGCCCAGTCCAACAATGTCCAGTTTAAAGCAGGCTGGTCAAGCTGGTTTTAGCTGCATTTAGCTGGTCATTTTTCATAACTCTGACCGAATGTGAGGAGAGTTTACTCACACGTGACTTGTTTTAGATATTTTGGTCCTTTTAGAAACTTTGCCGTGAGTACGCCAACCGCACCAAGAGCAAAGAGCAACAATGTAACAATTTGAATCCCTGTTTCGGAACAACTGAATCGATTCACAGGTGTGAAAGCACCCTGAATCGCCGCGTGCGTCGAGTCCTCCGTTCATGGTACCATGGTAAGCATTTGTCATGTACATTTCTTAAGGTATTTGCTGCAGATTAAGATTTTAAAACATGCAATTCACCAACTATATTCAATTCAGTTTTGGTCCAGTGGCTGGTGTAAAGTGGTTGTTTCCTTGTACTGCCACTTGAGGGAGCCAGATAAATTTTTTTCTTCCTTATGGGTTGAGACAAACGTAATATATATATATATATATATATATATATATATATATATATATATATATATATATATATTTAT